GTCTCTCATTTCTCTCTTTCTTCCTCTCTCTTTCTCACCTCTCTCTCTCTTTTCCCTTTCTCTCTCTCTCTCTCATCTCTCTTTTTCCCTTTCTCTCTCTCTCTCATCTCTCTCTTTCTCTCTCTCTCTTTCTCCCTACTTCCTTCTCACTCTCCCAAAACAGGTGAGGGGTGGGGTGGGGGGTTTGTTTTGCTGATGCTGTTCTTTCTTCTTCTTTAGTTGCTTTTTACCGTATGATTTAAATCAAGAGTCATTTCAGGTTCCCAGACAAATGAAGCTCTTTCATCCCTCTGCTATGGCTCCCTGTCAGCTGCAACCACCAGTGGCTAGCCCCACCCCTTGCCATCCCTTCCACTCACTCCTTGCCTCCTCTGAGAAGAGAAGGGTGACAGTGGTGGATAGAGACTTGCTCCAAATTCCACAGCAGGAGCAAAGTGCCTTTCTACTTGCCTCTTCTTCTGGCCTTTGTTGGTGCTGTATGCACCTCGGTTGCTCGGGAAGACATGTGACTTTCTCTCAACTCTGAGACACTGGCTGCAGCCAATGCTCCAAGTGGTAATGGACTCTAGGAGGAGGAGGGGATACTGTCTCCTCCATTGTGAAGCATGCTAAATTTAAGTGTGTTGCACAAGGTGTTGCAAGAGCAGCGAGCAGGCCATGGAGGTGGCGAGAGCAGCGGCATCAGTGTTTCGAGGCAGAGAGAAAGATGCACATCTCCTCATATTCCTCTCGTCGCCAAAGAAGAGGAAGTAGAGGGGCGCTTCACTCCCACTCTGGAATATGGAGTGAGTCTCCATCCGCCACTGTTGCCTTTCTCTTCTCAGGACAGGTGAGGAATGACTGCAAGGGGAGGGTGAGGGGCAGGGACAGCCAGTGGTAGGATCATCTGACAGGGAGCTGCAGGAGAGGGCTCAAAGAGCTGCATATGGCTCTGGAGCCACACGTTACTGACCTCCATCCTAGGCAGACCTTTTTTTCCATAGCCTATTCCCTCCAATTTGAGGCTGGTTCCAACCTTGCTGACCTTTGGGAAGGTCCTCCAATGGTTTTGCTAATGAGCTTTGAGGTTTCATGATAAATTGTAGCTTCTAAGGGATTGTATGAAAATTGATAGACCCTCTGTATGCTTTGCTGCCATTCTGGGGTTATTTTTGTTTTTGTCTTTTTTTAAATTTTTAATTTAGAGGTTCTTAATGGTTTTTATGAATTTTATTTAATTAATAAATAATTAAAAGTCACACAAAGTCACCATGTAAGATATGCAGCTGTAAGATATGCACCATGTAAGATGTACAGCTACATAAATGTGATTAATAGGTAGGTAGATAAATAGATGATAGTGATAGATGATAGATAGATAGATAGATAGATAGATAGATAGATAGATAGATAGAT